CCCGGAGAGGCTCCCCCGCCCCCCCCCCCCCCAGGCCGGCCATGTAGGGCATCTCCCAAGCTCCACCGCTGCCCCATCCGGAGACGCCCCTGGCGAGACCGTTAGGAGTCCGGCTCCTGGATTGCCACCTTCTAGTTTCCTTCTCAGCAACTAGGTGGTGTTGGCTTGATGCCGTTAAAATATCCACCGGCATTTTGGAGGTGCGGAGAGGCATTGGCCAGCTCGGGGACCTGGCCTGCACAGAGCCACCGCCTGCCAGCCCTGGCCTTGGGGGGACCAGCCCGTGCACGCAGCACCCTCCGAGGCTGCATTTAGCCCCGTCTTTAGTGTGGGAGTTGCTCGCAAAAAAACATTTCCTTCCAGTGAACATAAGGTTTTGAATAAATCGCTTAAGTTGTCGGAGGGCTGCGGGAAGCGTCGCTGAGTCAACCTGTATCGGGCAGAGAGCCGAGAAGCGAGGTTTTCCCGCAGTGCTGCGCAGGGGTTCCCGCAAGAGGTGATGCTCGGGGCGGTCCCGTGCATCCGCAGGCGGAGACCTTCCCGGCGCCCTGGCAGCAGCAGATGGCGCGGAAAAACCCACCGGATACCTTGGGCTGACCTCTCCCACGTTTGCTTGCAGGTGCCGTTCCCTGGGCGCAGGATGCACCACACCTGCCCGTGCCTGCCCAGTCTGGCCTGCGTACGGATCTCGCCCAGCAAATTCAAATGTTTACCAGACTTCAGGAAAGAAGACGTCTTTTTTTAGCAGGAGCTGTCCTTCGCTGGAAAGAGCTGCTTGATGTATTCTTCTTCTCGTTATTGTGATGGAAAAGGTATTCGCCGGGGGAAATTCTGTAGTATACTTTCCTGCCTTGCCAACATTAAAACCGTACGTGGGATACTGTGCTGCAACGGTCAAGATTTTCAGGAGGGACTAATGATGATGGATGCTTTCATTGTGGGGTGGCCAAAGTGAGGTTTGCTAAAGCGAGGTCATTTTTGGAGGGCAGGACCTGAGTAGTTTCTGACGGGTCTCATTCTCTTCACGGTTCCAACTTAACCCAGCATGAAAACATCCAAGATTATTGTCAGTTTTAGAAAATTGTGGCCACATTTTTACACTTTGGAACGCCTAAATCAAACAGAGATTCGAATAATTATATAAGGCAAAGCATAGGATGACTGCCAAAAAACCTGTATTTACGTTACATTTCAAATCTTTATTAATATAATTGTATTTGTAAGTTAAGCACATCTCTACAGTAAAAGTTTAACCAATAGATGTAGTTTTCACACTTTTAAAAAGTGACAGATGGAACCAAAGCATTTCAATATTCCAAGCATTAAAAGATTTTGTTATTTTAGTATTCTATGAGAAAAAGTTGTTGTTATTTGATTTGGTGTAAAACTAGCTGATCATCTCAAACTAAGTATTCAGATGTAGTTTATATTAAAAAAGGAACTTTGAGGTTTATTGTAATGGGCTGCCCGACTTCTTGTATATGTATCAAATTTGCTGTGTAAAAATTCTGTATCAGAATAATGGCAGTATATTATTTGATTTATTTTAATATTATAACATTATTTTGTCATTGTGGCTTTCAGTTTTTATTCGGTGTAATCTCTTATTACCTATCTCACTCACCCAGGCTAGCAGAGCTCCTCACAGATAGTTTAGTAACAGATTATACGCCTCTCTCTGTTTTTAGGGAAAGTCAGCACTTTACAAGGTATGATCCTCCCAGCCAAATCTTTGATTTAGATGATGGGGAATTTTTGGTGTAGCTAACATGAGAGTTTTTTTTCTTGGCACATGCCTCAAAGGAACAACTTTAGCGTGTCAAACATATAATTTGTGGGGGTTTTATGAAATAATTGTGCAACTTCATGTTTACTTGTCAGTCCCTGTAGCTGGAATTCCAATAGTTTGTGTGAGTTTCACACGTTTTTGGCTCTCAGACAGGCAAACATATGCCGAAACTGGAAAAGTGAAGGCATTTAGCTTTCAACAATCGGTGCCTTTGCTGCTGCTGCTGGGGATGAGAGGAGTTAGCAGGGCTGTACAAAAGCAAACACCTGCGTTACCCAGAGGAGACGAGACCCGTCCCAGCGAGTTTGACAGGTGCCTTTCACTGGGCTCCCTGCAGGGATGGGGAGTGACGGCGGGATCTGCCATTTGACCAGATCCTTGTGGATCTGGCACGTGTTAGAAAAACAGGGACCTGAGGACTTTAGGTTGCATCTTCCCGATCGCACCCTGCCCAACCCTAGGGCTCCCCTTAGGAAGCCCATGGTGCTGCGTTTTGCTCTGCCCTGTCTCTGCACCCCATGCACCGGTGACAGAGCAGCCGCACAAGCGGCAGCAGGCTCAGCTCCAGTAACAAAAACGACGACAAAAAAAGAAAGTCACCAAGCCAGAACAGCAACTTTTATACTTGGTTTGCATTAATGTCATCGGGCATAAGGTTCCTGCACCAGTAGATTTGACCTTTGAGGGGCTCAGCTCACTCCTTTCTTGCAGCTGGGATATTTGCAAGGAATTTTCTTCAGGGCTGATGATGGAAAGCTTCGGTGACCTGAGCTTGTAATTTTAAACTCAGGTCACCAAAGCTTTCCATAACCAGCCACCTGGAAGAAAAGGAGTGAGCTGAGCCCCTCAAAGTACAGATCTACTAGTGCAGGCACTTTGTACCTGATGACATTAATGCAAACCAGCTTAATACCATGGACTTCAAAACACGCTTAGGAGGTAAAATCAAGAAGGAAAAAAGAAGCTGTGCAAGTGTGTATGTGCGTGTGCGTGTGTGTGTGTGTGTGTGTGTGTGTTTGCACTGTCTCTTGGTCCATGCGTTTTTACCAAAGCGCATTGTCAGGGTGCTCAATGCCAGGAGACACAGCAGGAAACATCAGCCCTGCTTCTCATCTTACAGCAGCATAAATCACTAGTAACTCCGCTGAAGGTAATAATCCTGTTTTATATCACTGTAAGTGAGCGGACAATTATATCTGATGACTGCCTTAGACCTGCCAAACACAGCTCCTTGGAGAGTTTATTATAAAAGAGCAGAGCAACTTTGTAGTTGTAATTTGTGCCAATTAACTTGTGGGATTAGGCATTTATCTGGGTAATGCAAACAGTCCCAATTACATTAGATCAAAGTTTGCAGAGCATATGGGAGACCAAAACGCCCGTGTCTCCAAGACGGTCACCACTGAGGGCAAAGGGAAGGGGTTTCTCCGAGGGAGACATTGTCCTGCAGTCATCCGTGACCAGCTGCCCTGAGCCTCCCTGCACCCTCCGAAGCATGGGTAGAAGAGGTACAGGCGAAACCTATCCTCTGTCCTCAGTATAATTACCGTGATTCCCCTTTTAGTAATTTAATTCTCATTAATTGACACTCACAATGAAGGTTAGTTGATTGGGGAGATCATTTTGGAAGGAAGATTAAGCTTTTGCATTCTGGTTCTTTCCCAAACTCTGCCCTAATCAATTATCTTTTGCTCCCATCCTCACAAAAATTTCCTAACCCACCTACACCTGCAAAATGCCATTAATTTGCTTCTTTAATTTATTTTAATTTACTTGCGGTGGCGAGCATTGCTGGCGTTGGTGCTGGTGCCAGCAGATCAGGCAAGACACCACGCGTGCAGGAACATCAAGATGTCCTTGCTTGGTGTCCTTGGACCACTGGGGAACTGTGAGGCTGACTTCCAGAAGAAACCAGACCGAGGAGAGAGTGTAAAAGTGTTGAAGTCCTAGAAACAGCTTCCCGAAACAGCTACGTCCCATTCTCCAGTCTACCTGGCTTGCAAAGTGTTGGAGACAGACTGGCTTTCATGCTTTCCTTTATTCACTCCACTTAAGATATCTGGGCCAACATGCAGTTTAATTTTATTAATATTGTATTAACATTATTAATTATTAATAGAAATGTGTGCATTAATTTTTGATATTACATTAATATTGATATTACAGATATGCTATAGAACAACGATCATCTCACACCAAACTGTAGGATTTGCTGCGTTTATTACTAGACCGTGGTTTTGCAGAGAGTGATTTCAGGAAAGCACTCTACCATATTTGGTGAGTTGTTGCCTTAATTTGATTATATGCATATTAGGAAAGGTGAAGAAGTCATGTGTTTGGGTTTTATGAGTGCCTATGTGGCATAGCAGGCATGCACCTGTGAGCCTGCTGGGGCTGCAAAGTAAAGGCAGCTGCTGAGGAGGAGAAAGCCCAGGTAGAGCCTCATCTACATCCTCCTACCCACAATCCCTCCTTGAGAGTTGTCACTTTGTCTGAAAAATTACAAGGTTTTACAGGGTGGGGTGGGGGGGTGACACTGAAAAAATTTTGCATGGTGTGTGGCAAACAGCACTCAGACCTGTGTGAGGAACTACGCAGGAGACGGGTCACCCTAACCTAAGTGGGGTTTGGTATGAGCAGTAGCTGAAGTGCAAGGGAGGTTTGGCTCATTAGCTAGGGTGGTTGCTCTGAGGTGGTAGGTTATGGTGCTGCTGTGCTGGGTGGCTGGCCAGGCTCTAAGGTAAGGGTGGATGGGTGACTGCACCTAGGGCTGGGGGCTGTTGTTTGCAAGTTGTGTTCAGCTACACCAACATACCGCGCAATGAGTTTGTTAGTAGTGCTCGGGTGCCAAAGAAATAAGCTTGCGTAGGGGTCTGATGCAGGGGGTTGTCCTTCACTGGATGAGCTAGTGGTGATATTTTGAGGATGACAGGTCATCCTGAATTTCCTCGTGGCTGCTACCTGCAATCGTTCCCCAACGGCAGTGTCCAGGCACAGGATTTGCTGGGCTCCCCAGCAAGCATGGACAGACCACCTGGAAACGTACGGCTTCGCTTACTAGATAAGTCTCCAGCATGTTAGAAGGTCTCATAATGCACCTTGTAAAGAGGTACTTTGCTAATCTGCCTTGTCAGCGTAATGAACCGTAATGATGTACCATACCAGCCAGCGTGACCACAGACCGGGGACCTCGCTGACGGCCCCCCGTAGCTTTCCAATTTGTTATTACTGCACAGATGGATGTTCAAAAGAAACAGAAGGTGCAAAGATTCCCTTGATTTAAACAAGATGTCTCAGGAATTTGATCTTGACAATGTGTAGCATGTTTTCCAGAAGGAATTAGAAAATTGCAGGAAGAGAAAAGACTGTGTAAATACAGGAGGATTTTCATAATAGCAAAATCAATGTGCCTTTCTCTGTTATCTGAAACAACATGCCAAACCTGCCAGTGTACAGTGGATAGGAGAATCAATAATTCTGAGCGCAGGAACGGAGATGACTTAATATACATCCAACATATAGCAAATCATCTCTCATTTGTCAAGGTCAGTCTTGAGTGTGTGCAGGATGAGGCTAACGAGAGAGGATGCGTAATAAAAATTTGGAGGGGCCAATTTCCCTGTATGCCCCAGCTGCCTTGAATTCCTGGCTTTTGGGCCAGTCTGGGTTAGGAAAGAGTTAAGGGCCTCCCTATGTAAAGAGCTGAACGTGGGTAAGGCTGGCACACTGCACAGAGAGTAGCTGGAGAGCAAAGCGTGAAGAAAAGGAGGAATTATCAATATAATAATATAACGCTTGTGATCACAGCCATGGCTGGGTTTTCCCAAAGGTCTTTGTATGAGATAGCACGGTATGGGCCAGGAGCATCCCAAACTGATGCTCTGCTGCACAAGGCGTCAAGGCAGGAACGGCACATCCCCGTCTGGTCCCTGTTCCCATTCGGGGGCACCAGCTTGGGGCCCCGCAACGTCCAGCACGGCATCCACGTGACTGGAGCCAGGATGGGAGTTGTTGTCCTCTCCCTCTTGCCTGGGGCTGTAGAGGCCCTGCGAGTCGCTCGGCAGCCCAAGGCCAGACCGCGTGTCTGCTGCATCTCCACCGCAAAGCGGCAACACGTGGAAGGGATTAAATCTTGTTTTAAATGTAATGTGGCTCTGTAAATCCCAAGGCTGTAGGACAGTTGAGAAATAGACTGAAAATATGGCCTGGTTCCAGCTAAGCAAACGGGACTGAGCTGTCTTTATTTACCTTTTCTTTTGTACCTGCGAGCGCATCACGGTGCTATTTCATGCCAGCGTTTGCAGGCTCTTTTTCAGGACGAATGGACAGACACAGGGCTTGCTGCAAAGAGCTCACCAAGTTGTTATTAATTGCAGGGGGGGCAAAGTTGGGCCCACTTTTTTTTTTTCTTTTTTTAATTCCTGCTTTAGGATATAGTAGAGCCCAGAAGGCAGAGCGCATCTCCAAGCGCCTTGGCGTGGTCTGCCAGAGAGGTCAGCTCAGGCCGAGGCACTGGGGAGGCAGCTGCAAGGATGCTCGATCTTTCCAAAAATTTCACTGCATCCTGGCAAAGATTTTTTTTCCCCCAATTTCTTCTCTCGCATGGGTGAAACTTTGTCAGGAAGGTCCCTCGCCCTTTTAAATTCAATGGTTGAAACTTACTGACTTTGTCACA